AGTACACATATATAAATTATGTGAACCAAATTATAAAGTGATGACAGTACCAAGTACATGCCACCGACCAGCCAGTCCAGAGCCAGACTGGAGTCAAACTCAACAGGGTCTTTTATTTCCCCGCTTAGCCCTTCAAGTCCGTTCCCTTGACTGTCGTTTCGCCAGATAGCAACTCGAGACAGAGGGAATCTCATTAATCCATGTGCGAGCCCAATCGCACCACAGGAGAATGGATTAGCGTAAAGGAGCCACACCGCCACCCCAGTCGCTCACACACATGTCGATGGATATCACCATGCCGCCATTCAATGCACACCACAGAGGCCGCAGTGGAGTGGTCCAGCAACACAACGGTATCCTTCCCACTCACAGTGCACACACACATAATGACAGTCTCATATGCTCATGTCAGAGGGGCACTACCGCATTCCCTAAAATGTACACGGAGCCACACACCTACAGAGGGGAAAAGAAAAACACAAGGAAAGAACAAGAACAACAGGATACCAACAGCACACAAAGCACCCACAATACAATAATCACAGGTGCCACTCCCATCAGAAAAAAACATTCACCCATACCAGCACATCAACTCAATCCCAAAAAGAAAAAAGAAACAGACCCATTACGTGAAGCCGAAGCGGAACAGTCTCAGTCCATCTCCCCGCAGGCTGCAGTCATTCAAGCAAGCCACACAACAAACACCACACACCACAAGGGCAGAAATATGTTCGTGGCAATGCCGTGAGTGAAACCACCGAGAGAGAAGGCAAGAACAAAGAAATGTGTTTTCATTACGTGGGCGGTGCTAGCGGCAACCCAAACACACAAAGGAACACACAACAGAAGGGCACACTCAAACATCTACAACCCATCAATATTTACACCAAAATAAAAAATGCAAAAAAAGAGTGACTGCGTGAGGAAGACACAATAATAGAGCAAAGATGTAAAAACAAAAAAAGAAATTCATTACTGACTGTGGCTGCGATGCCTGGACACAGTCCAATCCACCCCAAGGTTAACAACGGAAAATCATTGTGTACTGAACCTGCCGTGCCCATATCTTTATTCTTGATGTCCGTGCAGCAGTTTGTATTTTAATGAAAAAAAGAAATCATTCCATAAAAATGAACACACAAGATACACAAGGTGTATAGGAAACGCAAAAGAGAAACACACAGCTGCACATAATGTGCAATGAAATTATAACGAAACACACAAACACTCAAGAAAAAAACAAAACAAAAAAAGAAAAAGCCGTGATCACCATGTGAATATGTTCAGGAGGCAAGAATACAATTCCCAACAGTAGGTCTGTGTGTCTTTCGTACAGGGCGAGCAATGGGAATGATGCACACATGATGACAGTCCACACACACACACAAAGAGAAGGAGGGTTGGTAGTGTGCGTGTTTGTGTCTTGAACCCCCTGCCATTCTTCACATTTCAGTCACAGCAATGAAAACACACCGGGATTGTATCCCATTCCCATGGGTAAAAGCAATAGTTATTAATATCACGGAACACACACACACACCATGAGGACACAGTAAATGGCGGCAAAACAGAGCCCAGATAATAATGCGAACAAACAAAAAGGACACACTCCCCTTACAAAATGATGGCTTGTCATGTGATGAGTGTCATAGGGAGTCCAATAGATTTGTTCACTAAAAAATGCAAACAAGAGATTTATCAAACTGGAAGAGAAAAAAGAAACATTAAAATTCAATAAAAAAAACAGTTTCCTTACAATGCATCCATATCCATCCAAACAAAGGTTAACTGTGCAACTGTGTCATCGGAACACCGACTAGCAAACGAAAGTGCAGCCCAGCACACACATCAGAAGAAGCAGCAGAGGACAGGGATCCAACGTGGGACCGTTACTGCCGTCCTTGCGCCCTTTTGCTCTTTTCGCCAGTTTTTCTTCCTTTTCCTTTCTTGCCTTCACATCTTCGGCAAGTCTCTCCCGTTTTGTCTCTTCTTCTTTGACCCGTCTCTCCGATTCGGCCTTCTCCTGTTCTCTTCTTTTTTCTTCTTCGTCCAGTTTCTCTGCCTCGGCCCTCTCTCTTTCCTGCTTCTCCTTCGCCAACCTCTTTTCCCGATCCAGCGCCCTAGCCCTCTCTCTTTCCTCCCTCTCCTTCGCCAATCTGATTCTTTCTGCTTCGGCCTGCTTCACCCGTTTTATACGCTCAGTTTCCTCTTTTTCTGCATTCCTTAGTTTAACCTTCAATTCCGCCGAAGCCCTTTCCTTTAAGTTCTCCAGGGGATCGTTTGGCGACTCTCTTATTAGCTGCAAGAACGTTACACTTTCGCTTCCCCTTGTTTCATTAACTACCTTGACCGACACATCACTCAGCAACCTTCTCGACTTGGTGCTCGCCTCGCTTTGATTCACAATTGTGTCCAACGATTTCTTGCTTGTGTTAACTGCTTCCTGGATGTCAGAAAGTTTTTTCATATCTTCCCCATCCTGTGACTTCTTCGCGAGTTTCTCCGTCATCTTCACAAGAATCTCATTATATTTCGTAACCGTGTCACTCATTACTTTCTTGGCAGCGTTCATCCCTTCTACGGCCGTTTTCTTGACGTCGACGGCGTCCCGAAACCCCCATTTCATTTTTACTTCCATTAAGGACAACTCATCGGTTATGTTCTTCAAATCCTTCTTGAGTTGCTCTCTTTCCTCCGTCACACACTCACCTGGGCCACTTCCCATTACGTAATCAAAATACACCCGACTGTCGTTGATCCGACCTACCGTCGCGCGCAAATTACCAAGTGAAGCAAAACAAGACCACTTCGCGAGATCCGTAAGGTGCATTAACTTTGCTGATTCTTCGACGGCCTTCCATGTCTCTTGTACATTTTTCTCAGCCAGTTTTACCTTTACTTCCAGATCGTCAATTTTTTCTTTTGTTATAACTTCACCGGACGTCGTGTCACCACCCCCAACCACCAACACCCCAACTTCATTGACACTGTTGGCCGCCTCTTCTGCAATACGCGTGGCATTTACTTCACTTTCATTGCACATTCTTACCCTCTCCGCCATCTCGGCCATACAAACCCTGCCTTCCACTATATACCCATTCGCCTCGTTTCGCAATGTACCCAACATTTTATCTGAGTCAACCAAATCCGAATCATTACATGTTGCGTATGACACACACACACACCACTGCAAAAGTACCAACAGGTACACCATACGGCGCAGTTGGACGAACATCGTTGTCATCAATGTCACTGTGGGTTGCTGGGATCTGTGGTAACAAGAAAGAAGAGGAAAAGGAGAAAAGAGACGCACATCCAACACACAAGGCAACACAAAAAGAGAGATTGAGTGAGATAATACACATCACAACAGCAATTAACCAACAACCCAATGAGGGGAACAACAGTAAACCACTTACACAATAAAACACACCCAGAGTTACACAGATATCGAAACAACACCTTGAAGTTAGAAGAAGTGGAAAACAAATGGTATCAAAACAAAATTAAATAAACGTCTACTACACACACTCCAATATCTTACTCGGTATTCATACACAAGGTGTCTGTATTCTCATTATAATAAAATCATTACCAGGCAGTTTGAACACCAAAATACACCAAAATCACAGTGTACGCCTGGCAACATACAAAAACAATACCACAAAACAATCAGCAAAACAAAGAGACTGTACAATAACCAACACACACTTCCAAACAGAAAAAAAAAGAAACCAATGCATCACCATAATATTTATACCAACACCACAATTGGAATCTAAAACCCCACTCCATCCACAACCATAAACAAAAATGACTGCATACATCACCGTAATACCATGCCACTCTTTACAAACAGAGGCAACACACAATTACTCTCTCACAGACACATATTACCTCTTTATTTTATCCTTATTACTATTATTTTATTTTTCCCTCAGAATGCCGGTTCACCTCTTCTTCCACCACAGCATTATCAGGAAAAAAAAAACACCCATCCAATCAAAAACAAACACGTCCTTTTCTCCATGGTGTGTATTATGAGGGTAATATCAAACATATCCCCCTCCACACCACCACGTTTTTCTTTCTTTTCTTCGTGGTTTTATGGATGTTACTCCAATGGAACGGACCATCAAGAATAATACATAAATATACATAAATACAATTTGTTTTTATATTATTTTATTTACTACCGTTGGGCATGGGGAGTACACATTGGTAATGAAATTATAATAGATCTCGTAGGTGGCAGGGCATGGATTTTTACGCCTCTCTGAATCACCTCAGCGGCCAAATCTAATTTCCACCACTGGAGGACATAATTGTTGCTATCTCTAGGGTCCGTGCCTCCCCCTAGCAGCATTCACACTAAAGTGCAATATGTAAAAGAAACTGCTGCTTATGGTACACTGATTCGCGCCCCAGGACCTTCTTGGATAAAGTTTTCTCCCAGTACGACTCTGCTGGCCCCGGTGCTGTATGGCGTTTTTAGCTTACGAACCCGTAAACTCTCAAGAAGAGAATTTACTGACCCATGGCTTTCCTCAAAAAAATAATAAGGGATAATGAGCATCGGCTCCAACTTTCGATGGCCAAACTTCGCCAAGGGGATTACCATTCCCAAGAACGCATGTGTTGAAAAGAAAAATAAAAAGAATTTGGTTTTTAAGGAGACCACCCACTTCAAAAATTTGGTGAGTAAGTTTGGTTTCTTTGAATAAATTCATATACTCCACCTTGACGCCATATGAAGGCAGCCCTTATTACCAAAGGCATATTGGTGCAAAACCCCTCCCGAGGCGGCCACCACAACCCAACCCATGGGAGGCAGAGGCCCACAGCCAGAGCGCAACACGCGGTGCCGCAAACAAAAGCGCAACCACCACCAGCACATGTAGAAAACACAAATCGCGACGGCAGAAACCAGATGGCCCGCCTGGCACCCCAAAAAAAATACAGGGGTGGGGGTCCGACCCCGCCACACGGACAAGTCCGGGACGGCCCGGGACACCGCCTGACCCCGCCAAGGCGGAGCAGCACAACGACACACAGAGGCTACGAACGACCAAAAGAAGAATAACAACTAGTAGAACGCCAAAATGGCAGAGGCGCAACTATTGTGGAGGCCGCCTGCTTCGGCCAGAAAACTGCCACCCCGCCCCGGCGCCACCAGGCCGGCACAACCCAAAACACCGGAACAACCCAACACCTACAAGGGTTAGCTTGTGTGCGAAAATGTGCCCCAATACCACCGTAACGAGGCCCAGTGGAGCACAGGAGGCGGGAAACGCACGGCACTCGCAAAACTGAAAATTCACCCCTGGGGGGTGGGGCTGGGAAGGGCGCCCCGGAGACCCCCCCGGGAGCATAATATGTTCTTTTGCGGGTATTTTGGATACGACCATACATGGCCGAATGCACCATATCCCGTCCGATTTGTGAAGTTAAGCGGCCACAGGCCTCGTTAGTACGGCGATCAGTGATGGCGCTGGAACCCGGGGTGCCGTACCCTCCTCAACTTTTTTTTTGCCACCATCTTGGGGTAGGTGCCGTGGACCTCTGAAGTGAATCACGGCTCGCCTTTGGCAATGAGGGCTGTCCAATCGCGGCGCCCAGCTTATCCACTTCCATCCCTTCAAGGAAGCCAAACATACTTCACACATCGTTTTGTGGTGGATTGGGCGGTGGGGTGCCAACAAACCAAAAATACCTATGAGGCGAATTGTTCTTATGGGGGAAAATGTTCTTATGGGGGAAAGTGTTCTTGTGGGAGAAAATGTTCTTATTATACTTATTTTTTCTCTTCTGCATTTCCCATGGATCCCCTTTTCACACCACACATGGCAGCAGCGGAACGCCTTATCATCACCGTAGCAGAATTTGCCTTTATCACAGGGAAGGAAGGGCTCACCCTCATGTTCTTTTTGTTCATGGTGCGGGCCATTCAACAACACCTTTTATTCGGTGGCACGCGGCACCATGTCATGAGGGGAACGGGGAAGGGTCATCTTCGCGGAATGCCTTTCAAACCCATCTTCCCCAGCGCTGGAGTGGGGAAAGCAAGAGTTTTCCACGATGCCCAACCCCACTCATTTTATAAGTGAAACACCCCCGGGAGCCACCCCACCCCTCTTCTTCTTGTTGCGCACAAGACGCTGACACGTTGGCCGCCCGCCTTGGGTTGTGGGGGTTGTGTGTTCCCTCCTCCCCCTTCTTGGGGCGTGGGATTAAAAAAAAGAAAAGGGCAAAACCCGACAACGAGCCTCGGGCATTGCGCGCGTAGAATGGTTGCCGGGTTTCATCCTTTTTGTTTTCCTCATCCTCACTCTTCTTTTTCTCTCAAGTTCAAAAAGTCCCTGAGCACGACATTTCAGGCCTCAAGGTTCAGCGCCTCGGGACGCAAAGTGCCCCTCCTCGAGCCCCGCCGAAGCGAAGCATGCCGCTTACACACAAACCCCACAGAGGCCGCAGTGGAGTGGTCCAGCAACACAACGTTGTCCTTCCCACTCACAGTGCACACATACACAATGACAGT